AGCCAAGCTAGTGTCCTTCACACTTGTTCTGGGTGGGCACTGTGTTTCCTCCATATGTTTCTGCATTTGATTCTTTATTGCAGATGTTATTAATTCAGGGATTTCTTTTTTTACTTCCAATCTGAGTTCCTCTATACCTTTCTGCAGCTGTTTCTTTATTTCAGAAGCCGTTGCTTCATTACTTTCAGCTGTGTGATTCCCACTCTGTTCTGTGTTAGTGTCCTCTGAACTTTTTAAGGGTGGTGTTTTGTTCTGAGGTAGCATTTTGTTCCTTCTCGTCATTTTGTGTAGCACTGTCTTCTTACCTTTGTTGTTGATCTTCGTTGTAGTTATAATCTTAGTACGTACTGAAGTTCAGGTGCAGATCTACAAAGTCTGGATTTATCCAGCTGTGTCTGGCTTGGGTCTGGCTGCTGTGCTCAGCTCCTTCCCGCTGCTGCCCTTGAGGGTGAACCTGTTGTGCCCCAGTGGCAAGATATTCTGCTCCTGATCTAGCTGGATGGTTCTATCCTCTTCCCTCTCTATAGGGATTGCAGCTGCAGGATTACACCTCAGGCCTGTTTGCCAGGCCTGAGCTGAGCCTGGAGGGCACAAGGTGGAGTAGAGGGGAGAGGCAGCTCTCCCACACACTCACTGGGTCTGGGCTAGGACTGGGTCTGTGTGTTCCCGGAACATGGCAGAAATTCCTACTGGGCAGGCCGGGTGTGTGAGGTGCTGCGGAGTGGTGAGGGCGGTGGAAGGGGGTGTCAAGGGGGTGGAAGACGGTGTCACCCATGCTGCGCCTTGGCTGGGGTCCGGAGTTGGTCCTGCCGCCGCAGGGTAGCCAGAAGGTCTCCCACACACTCACTGGACCTGGGCTAGGACTGGGTCTGGGGGTTATCAGCACTGTTTTTTAAATAAACAAAATCTCTCCAGTACTTTTTCAGAAAGCCAGAGAAATAGGTTTTCTGTAATTTTTTATTCAGTACAATTAATGCAGTCAATAGACTTTTTGCTGGTAGTTAGTTACATGTACCAATGAGATGCCCTTCTTTTGTCCAGCAGACAAGAGGCCACACAGAACACAATTTCAGCTTGCTTGCTTGCTTGCTTGCTTTCTTTCTTTCTTTCTTTCTTTCTTTCTTTCTTTCTTTCTTTCTTTCTTTTTGTATTTAGGATAGGATGTACAGATTGTACAGGGTCTTGTTATATTAATTCATGCCACCTAAGTAAAGCCCATTATTTTGCGATTAGTGCCCCTCAAGGCAGTGGCTGTAGTCCTATGTGTTACATGGATAAAAATTGGATCTCAGTTGAGGAGCATGTTGAATTGGAGAACATATGTTTCACAACTCTTTTATTGTTATGGTTTCATTGGGTAGTTTTAAATAATTGGATAATGTGGTGTATGATTAGGTATAAGCTTTAGTTCCTTCTTCAGTTATAGTCTTGGAAATATGTTTTACTCAAAGAAGAACTAATAAGCATCCATCAAGGTAGATCAACTAGATGCTGTTCACTGACAGAGAAGTAAGACTTGGTTCTCAGTGTACTTATAATCATGACTGAAAGAATATTGCTGCTCTTCTGATGGGTGTTGAACAGAGTAATGTTTGCTTTCTTATATTTCTTACAAAATTAATATAAATTGGAGGTGTAAGACACAAATCAAGTATTACATGTGAAATTTTGGATTCATCCAAGAACGATACATACAATTATTGATGGCTAATATAAAAATTAATTTTAAGGGCCAGCCAGATAGCTCAGCAGACTAAAGCATCTGCTTACGCAGAGCGCAGGCACCAGGATTTGATCCCTGGCATGCCATATGCTGAGATGGTGACTGAGACTGAGTGTGATGGTGCATGCCTGTAATTTCAGCACTTGGGAGGCTGAAAACAGGAGGATCACTGTGAGTACAATCTGTGCAGTGAGACCCTGTACTAAATATATTTTTAAAAAGAAAACATAAATACCAATTTTATTTTATTATATTTTAATCTTCAGTATTATCTGCTGCTAGTCAGTCTTAGTTTTTACTAGTTAAAGGGTTATAAGAAAGTAACACATTTCCAGATAAAAAAGTATAGCTTATCAGAGCATAAAATGAGTTTTACTGGTACAATACTATGGGAAAGTGTAAGAGAAACCAATGATTGGACATTGCTGAAGAGAGTCACAAAAAAAATCATCATAGAATTTGAATTGTTCTAATGCTGAGTAATTTGGTTTAATTGAAAAGCTATATTATTTTAAACTTTTGTAGTTTACCCAAAATTTTGCTTTCTCCCTAGTCTTAGGGAAACAGAATTCGCGGCTGAGAAGTTTAAAATCTTTAATATAAAAAACAAATGAAAAATGAAAGACATGAATAAACTTATGTAAGACTTTATACTTGCTCGATCCACTTAACTGTAAAATAGCCTAGCAAAGAGTATTGATGAAATTCATTATCTTAATAAAAATAAATAAATAAAAAAATAAATAAAAATAAACTATGCTATACCATTAGTTTATCTTTACAGTGTTTTACCTAGAAGAAACTTCAAAGTGTCTTCTGTCTCCTCTTTTTTAATTTAGTATCTATAAATTTCTTTTGTCTTTCTGCCAAGCAAATGCTCACACTCATCTTCTGATCTTTCCTTATTTCTTTTTTTTAAATACTTTAAACTTTTATTCTGTCTGTTTCAAAGAATATAGATGCCTGAAATAGAAAAGCACTTGTCTTTCTGCAACTTTTTTAGCATGTTGGGTACCTAATGACGTATCTTCTCTAGCTCCCACTGCAATTTATGGCTTCTGTGTCCTATCCTAGCTCTGAGTCCCTCCCCTGTTACCCACCTGCTGCGCCTTAGCACATACATTGCTGATTCAAATCCAAGGGAAGTTAAAATTCATGTACAGGAAATAGTACTTTATCCTTTTTCACATCTTTATCAATAAACAACTGTTATGTCTTCTCTAATCAAGAATTTACTCTTTTGTCTGTGAAAAATGCAACGTGTAAAATATTAAGTACATTTCAAGAATTTTGCAGAAGGTTTATTTTACTCTTAGTGACTATTGAAACTACAATTCTGTTGTGTATGTTTATGATACAGACTTAAGATTTTCAGCTGAGAATTAAGTTGAAACTTGGATAAACTGTAGTGGTGCTAATTGATGTAATTGATGTATCATTTATAACATTGATTTTTTTCCAATTACAACAAATTCTAATTTTTCAACTGTAGTAGTTCCCTAATATTGTTCATATTAAAGAAATCTGAAGGCATATAATATTTGGGGGAAGAAGTGCCTCTAATCACAGATATATTTCTGGTGTACTGATGGCTGTTTATAATCTTAATGTTCAGTGAACTTGAAGGGGAGTCAATCTTGAGACTATAGTATTGAGATGAGGCTTTAAAAATGATGAGAGGAGACATGAATAAAGTCTTACATCTAGTAATTAAGTGCTCAAGAATTATGGTAAAATGCTTCCCATAATGTTAAACTCTATTAAAGTTTGTTTATAAAATTAATAAAACCAAGAAAATGAGTACATACTATGAATCAGAAATTGTTTTAGGAATTAAGAGTATACTCAACATTCTTTTTGCTAAGATTCAGGTTGATGAATCCTGTGATTGGTGAAGAGTAACACTAACTTGGATAGCTATAATTTAAATATTAAATAGAAGAAATTAAAGATTTTTAAGATTAAAAATGTTTTGTAATCCAAAAATGTTATTTGGTTTAGCTTTTGTATTGCAATAGGAAAATATTAAAGTAAAAATAAAAATATTCTTGTTGTATTCTTGTATTTAAAAAAATCTAGTCCCTTAGCATCTGGGTCTCTGAGACTAGATGGTAAGAAGCCTTTGTGTTCAAGAATGCCATTTGGATTGTAATCATTTCTATTCCATCTCAGACTGTTCCATCACCTAGATAATGCTGAAGAGTTTGGTGGAGGAGGGGGTGGGGAATAGAACAAGGTCAAGAATTGAAAATATATGTGTCCTTCAGAGCTTGCTTTTTAAAAATAGCTCTTTAAAAATTTAGGTGAAAAACTTTAAAGTTTTAAAGAAGTTATTTTTTAATCTTTGTGACAATTTTTTCAAGAGTTCAAAAGTTAAAGATTATTCAAATGCTATGATTATCTTTATCTAAACCCATGAATCCCACTTTCACAGCTCCAAAACCCCATGATTAGGGAAATTCGAAGTTGAAAAACTTGAGGCTCTGGAGATGACTAGGGATTGGTTTTTGTTTTGTTTTGTTTTTTGCTTTTTTTTTTTTTTTTAAGTAACGTATAATAGCTGTTTTTGTGCTCATTACAGTCTTATAAGACAGGGCCCATTAATGAAAGATACATGTCATTAGGTACAACATACAACAGTGGTACTATCATGGTACCCCTCGTGTAGCTTACGCTCTAGAAATATTCCTCACATCTTCTCTAACTCTAAATGAAATTTTGCTTGGTATTGAAACCTCACTGAGATATTCACACTCCTCTTGAAGAGTCAGAGTTGTTGGTACCTGTCCCTTATCTTGATTCTAGGAAGGTAAAATCAGTTGCAAGCTTAAAATGAAAAGAATTTTAAGTAAACTTCATCTTTGAGAGAGGATTCTAAAGACTTTCCCCATTCCTGTGGCAGCCCTGTTCCTATGGCTGTGTATTGTTAGTAATTGGATAAGATCCTTGGGACCACGTGGCCTCTTAGTGCCTTTCCAGGTAATACACAAAGCAGAAGGGTTTTATCTTTTCTTTGATTTCTGTCACAAAGTTTCATTTTTAAAACTTGTTACTTCTCTGTCTTTATTTCCGGTATCTAGTCTTGCCCATCTGTTGTGCTTTTCTGTGACAGTCCCCTCTTAGTAACTTGCAGACTCCAGGTAGTGAAAGCAAAATGGTTCCATACATTAGACTTTCAGTTGGGGACTACTCCTGAGATCGTTCAGTGTGCGCATTTGAGCAGAACTGAAAATACATGTCTAAATGGTAATGGTATTTTTATATTTTGTATTGACAGGCAAACTGTGGACAAGAAGTATGAAGGTTGCTTACAACATCCTGCATAAATTAGGTACAAAGCAAGAACCTATGGTGCGGCCTGGAGACAGGGTACGTGCAGTTTAAATTATTGGATCTGTAAATCGTAGCCTCTCATAAAAAGATATCTTCTGGAATGAATAGTAAGCTCATTCTCCTACTGTTACTACTGTGTACAGCTTTTCATGTTTACGGAGAACCAGAATCAACTTCATGCAGAATGTCATTTAATTTTCACAACAACTCAGTGAATCATGTAGGTTTTCTCTGATCTTATACACAAGTTCCCTCAGGCAAGAGGGTAAATATCTACCAGGTGAAGGTACAGGCACTCATATGCATCCTGTCAGCCTTAGCTGCCCATGCTGTTAATCACTGTCATATACAGTCTCCTCATTTGAAATGCACTTGTGTCGCTGACCATGGGAGGCAGGGCAATTACATTTGAAATGTGTTTTACATTAGGAGACAGACTATCCTGAAGCAAACTGTCAGTATGTTTTTTTTTCCCCAGTGTTCACTTTTGTAGTATAAGCTGTGGCTTTCTATTGAAACACACATTTTCATTTTATTCTTAGAGCAACCAGGCAGATTTAGAGGACAGGTATTAGTATTGTCATTTCATTGTTATACCTGGGCAGACTCTTACACCTCATGTAGATGTGGAACTTTGCATAGAACCCAGTTTTTTGCCTTTAAAAATATTGCAGTTTTTCTATGTATTGCTAGGTATTTTAGGTGTATAGATATGCCTTAGGACTGCTGAGGAATTATATAAAAACATCATTAGGATGCCAAAACTCAACAAAAATATGAACTTTGCTTTACCTAAGAGATGTTTTAAAGATGTTATTCTGTTATAAAAATTTTCAAGATTGCGACAGCTTCACAATATTGTGGTAGACTGTAGTTTGTTTCAATTTTTTATTGAATAAATTTAGTCCTTAGCTTTCAAAAGTTTTAGGTGTAATACTTGTGAATGACAAAATTTTCTACAAAGCTGTAATCATCACAATAACAGAGTACTACTTAAACACAGACATAGCAATGAATGGAACAGAATAGAGAAAACAGAAAGTCAAATTATTTCAAGAGGGTCCTGACATATTCAATAGGAAAAGGAGTCCCTTCAGCAAGCAGGACTGAAAAATTTGGATATCCCTGTGCATAGGAGTGAAATGGACCCTTAACTAACATTGTTTTTAAAACTCACAAATTGTCCAATTGCCTAAAATATAAAGGCTAACATGATAAAGTGCTCAGAAGAAAATAGAGAAAAAAACATCATGGTGATGGATTTGGCTGTGGTGATTTGGATAAGATACTAAAGGCAAAGACAACAAAAAAACCAAATTGGATTTACTCAAAATTAAACACTTCTGTGCACTAAAAGGCATTATCAAGTGGACTAAAGGCTTTTTTTTCCTTTC